GAGCAACCTGGTCTGGTGGGAGGTGTCCCTGCCCATGGCAGGGGGGTGGAACGAGATGTGATTAAGGTCCTTCCTAACCTAAACCATTCCATTACTCTATCAACTGAAGGATATTCAATATTTTTACATATTTTAAAGCTGGCCTATATTAACAATGCTCATGGTAACTGTCATGTGTTATCTGTCTTGATGTTAACTGTGTTGTATCTTAATAATTGTTAGATGAGATCCCTGTAATCACGTGCTCTCTCACCAACAGCTTTGCCTTATCAGCATCTATTGAATTTAACAAATGAAAAGGGCATTTGGTACTTGACCAAATTTAGAGACTTGCTGGTTTGCTTTGGATGCTCACTTATAACCTCTGAAGGTTATGATTCCTCTTCTCATGTTTCATTTCAAGATAGAAGCTGACAATCTGAGCTGATGTTACCTCTGCTGGTTTTGAGACAGCTGCTGTGTTTGTCATTAGGACCTGTGTGGGGAACCTTTAGTACAGCTGTAACTTTTCTTCTCCTTACAGGCTTCACAGAGCCCAGTGTGCAATTAAACAGACTCAGGTAACCGTTCAGAAAATAGGAAGGGAGATTGAAGAAAAGCTGAGATGTACATCTACAAGCAATGAACTGGTAAGTTTGATTATTTAAAAACACATTCTACATGTTTGCTGAAGCATCTGGCTGATGTCTTGACCATATGCTTGGGGGTTTTTTAGTACTTGAGCTTGAAGTCTTTATTTAAACCTGTCATTTCAAATGGGAAGTCGTCTCAGAAGTGTAATGTAATCGATTTTAGCTCAGATGGATTTTTTTTTTTACTCAAATTGGTAAATGGCTTACCCTGTTTTTACCTTTAGTTTGTATAATTGCTTTTATACTGTGGAAGCATAAACATTGCACAGTGCATGAAAGAGGTTTATCGGGAAAAACAATCTTTTAATGATTTAGATAAGTCTTGGCAGGAACCTGTGGTGGATTTCGAGTGGGGTGAGTCTACTGCCTTTCTCTTCTTGCACCCTGCTCCCTTTGGGGGAACAGAATTAATGCAAAAGCTGTCACTCAAGTGACACGTTCGTTTTAAGGAGGGATTGTATTCAATCTTGCAATAGCTTTTGACACTTTGTTTTGCCTGTCCTCTTCCCCTCTTCAAAAAAAAAAGTGTGCTGGCGCTAGTTTCTCCTTTCTGCCCAGAAAGGCTGAGCTGGGTTCAACGCAGGGAGTTGACAGAACAAGAGTGGCTCATGGTGGCTTCGTTACGTTGGTGCTTGCTGGCACGTGTCTGGTGCTTTGTGTGGGAAAGGGCAAACTTGGGATGTGAATCACAGCCCCTGGCATCCCGGGCTGCATCCCCAGCAGCGTGGCCAGCAGGGCGAGGGGGGGATTGTGCCCCTCTGCTGCGCTCTGCTCTGGGGAGACCCCCCTGCAGTGCTGCCTCCAGCTCGGGGGCCTCAGCACAGGAGAGACATGGACCTGGTGGAGCGGGGCCAGAGGAGGCCCCGGAGATGCTGGGAGGGCTGGAGCCCCTCTGCTGGGAGGACAGGCTGGGAGAGTTGGGGGGGTTCAGCCTGGAGAAGAGGAGGCTCCGCAGAGACCTTATTGTGGCCTTCCAGTGAAGGGGGCCTACAAGAATCACAGAATCACAGAATTTTCAGAGTTGGAAGGGACCTCTAGAGATCATCTAGTCCAACTCCCCTGCTAAAGCAGGATTGCCCAGAGCACATCACTCAGGACTGCATCCAGGCGGGTCTTGAAACCCTCCAGAGAAGGGACTCCACCCCCTCCCTGGGCAGCCTGTGCCACTGCTCTGTCACCCCAACCCTAAAGAAGTGTTTCCGTGTGTTGGAACGGAAC